CAGAGGTGGCAGAGTGCAGCAGCTAAGGAGCCTCAGATTGAAGGTGTCACTGCCCCCATCATCTCTCATCATGGCTGCCACAGTTCTGTGCTGCTTTGGGTAAAGGATCAATTTCTGCCCTTGGCACCAGGCTCCATGTGGCTGGAGTTTATTCTACCCCCCCTCTCTCTCTCGCTCTCTCTCTCGCTCTCTCAGATACCAGGCACACACGGATGAGCCACCAATACTTACTGGAAATAGAAAAGATCAGCATATGAGCACACAAACTACAGGCCAGCCTCACCCTATTGCCTGGCTCGGGGCCTTGTGCAAAGTAGATGTTCAGAAAATATTTACTGAGAAAATGAAACGTTAGTTCTTTGAACAAGTTCTAGCTAGGGTGTGTGCCTTGGTGCCGCCCAGGCAAGCCTGAGGCCAGAGGGTGGAGCTTCCCTCTGTAGGCTGTGACTCAGGTCTTAGGGGACACCTCACCATAGGTCAGTCCCGGGTAGCCTATCTGTGTGGGAGGCTTAGTCTATGAGCCAGCCAGCCTGGGGAAGGGAAGGGAAGATACCTCTGCCAGCCGAGATTCGGTGCAGCAAGCCTTTGAACGGAGCAGGTGTCTTTAATGTCCTTTGGTTCCCATGAGGAAGGTTGGCTACTCCTTCCTGAGGGCATTGGAAATGAAGCCTGAAAAGGAGGTGTCATGGCACACAGAAAGCAGACAGCCCACTGAAGCGGAGCACCAGGGTGCCAAGGACATATAGTATAGCACCAGGGCTAAAAGTGTTGACCTGGAAGTGAAAGATTAAATCCTTCAAGTTGGCCTCGTGCAACCCCTTTCTGGGGACCTGCACTTTGTGACTTCAGACAGGTGTGCAGCCTCTCTGCTATTCAGTCTGGATTTGTTAGCTCTCATACCCACTCATGAGGACAACAGACTGTTGAGTCCCCATGGTTACACAGTGGGTCAGCTGGGACACTGGCCTTAGACCCACAACTCACTGTCTTCTTCCATGCTATCCTTCTGGGGACAGAGGGGGACTGGAATGTGAGGGTGCCGACTGAAACATCCTTCTTGGTAGAGAATAGCTAGGTCAGAGGAGGTGCCACTCCTCACCTCCATTGCCAAGACCCATCCTTTCTTTGTCTATCCAGGAAGGGATTCTTCAGGCCTACTGAGTTCGGTCTCCATGGTCACCTCACTATTTTGCCTTGGCTAAGCCACAAGTATACTTGTGACGTATATTTCATCCTTAACTGAGACCCACCTGCTTCTATATGACCAGGGTCTGACTCTCTTGAGGACTTTCAAAGCACAAGGATTTCTTATGCACCCCCAGAACGCTGGTGGGCCCCGATGACTCCTCACTGAGAAGCCCAGATGACTTCCCCCAGACTGCTGCTCCAGTTAGGAGTTCTTCACAGTGAAGCAGAAAGTTCCTTTCACATCCTTAACTGTGCCCCATCACAGGGCTGCAATCACGTGCTGCCCAGCGCATTCCTCTCCACATGTCCCAAGACCCTGCACAGTACACACCCACATATAAGTGGCAACCAAGGAACACTGTTGCTCCTCTCCAGCCCTTAACCCAGCTCTGCATGGCCACCTGAAAGTCTACCATCATTGATCCCATGTCATTCCTCCTGGGACATCAACCTGCAGTACCAAGGCCCCCACAACTGCTCACAGACAGTCCTGCTGCCTGAGCCATGCTCAGGAGCAAAGGAAGAGGAAGAGGAGAAAGGATGCTGGCCAGATTGGGAGGCTGTAGGCCAGAGGCTGTGCCAACGCAATGGGACAGAGATTATGAAGGCAAGGCCAGCCAGAGCCATTATGCAGATGGATGCCAGTGGGGTTAGAGGTCAGCCTTGTAGAAGATGGGGCCAGGGAGGTTGTGAGCTTGATGATCTCTTGGGAAACTGAGAAAGGATTCTAATTTTTGCAGCATTTACAAGCAGTTATCTGTGCAGAATGATGACCTCAACAACAGCCAGACTTTAGAAACTCATAGCTGCCCAGCAGCTGCAACTGGGGAACTGCCAGAGTAGGTTCACAAGCCCTAAAAAGCAAAGTCAACCTCAAGCCCTCAAAAAACACATCTCATAGAGCTCTGCCTAGGCTGCACAGCAGTCGGCCAGGTGAGCATCTTCGGGGAAAGGTTTGCAGCTGAGACCCCTGCCCCACTTACCCCGTCACAGAATACCAGGTATTATCTCAGAGCCTCTACCGAGCTGCTGCCCCTCAGGCCTGCTAGGGCCCTCCATGAACAAGCCATGGCATCCCACTTGCTGGCCTGGCAGGCTCCCAGGGCCACTCACTCTCCTGTGGTCAGCCTCTGAAGATGTCACAGTTCAGGCCCCAGAACCTATTGACATGTCCCATAACCTGGTAGGGAAACTGCGGGTGAGATCTTGAGATGGAGAGGTAATCACAGATTAGTCCATGTAACCCCAAGGGTCCTCATGAGAGGAAAGGGCTGATCAGAGGCCATGTGACCAAGGAAGCAGGGGGAGACAGAGATAAGAGTCTAAATATGGCACTCTGAGAAGGAGCCGGGTATCCAAAGCACATGGTAGCCTCTCAAGCTGGGGAGGCTTGAGCACAGCTTGCTCTGGATCCCAGGAGATACAGCCTAATTCGACCCTGCTTCAGCGTAAAATGCCTGGTGGGGTACTGTATGATGAGAAACTCACTTTGTTTGAAGTCACTAAGGTGACATTAATGACCAATGGGAAAAGGCTGGGGTCTTGGATGCAAGACCAGCCTGAGGCCATCGCAGGGATAGATACTAATGAGGCTGTTGGGGACTCTCCCAGATGTCTGGGTTAAGGAGGTCACTGCTCAGAGCTCCCTCTGGAATGGAGAAGCTTTCCAGTTGAGGTGATTTGTCAAAGCAATATCTAAAAAGCCTCACTCAACCCTGTAATGCCTGCCCAAACCCATTCCTTCTCTGGTGCCTGTAGTGGAGCTAGCCCCAAAATTCAGGAAAAACTAAGCTCCTTGAAGCTAATTTTTCCTGCAAGTCTCCACTAGATTAGCCTAACTCACAGGGCACAAGGATGTTCTCTGTACATGATTGTTGCCCCAACAAACACTATCCTGCACAACACCACCCAGGCTTGAGGCTGTCGTTGGGTTTGCTAGCAATAAGAGTTAGGAGAACTCCCTCAAGAGGGAACACTAGTCTTCAGAAGTATGCCCTGGCCTTGGCCTGCTTCCTGAACCCCATCATCCTCTACCTTCTCCAGGCAAAAGCATTTTCAGAACGTAAAGTCAGCTCCAGGCTGTGCTGAGTCTAACCCCACACCCAACATACCACAGTAAGGAGCCATGCTGAGAAGACAGATCCCAGAACTGTGGGACTGGCCCAAGGGCCATTCTGTGCCCAGGATGACCCAAGCTTCTAAGTGTGGAATAAGCCCTCTCTGTGGACCAAATGGTTTCCATCCCCAAATCTAAGTATTGACATCCCACACGGGTGGAGCCTCTGCTGATGACTGCATTTGAAGAGGATCCCTGTAAAGAGGTGATGAAGTCAAATGTTTATAACAAGAAGAAAAAGGTACTGGGGAACCTGCACAGAGGGACACCCATGTGAAGAGCGGGTGAGAGAGCCGTCACTAGTGAGCCGTGGAAAGAGGCTCCAGAGAAACCAATGCACTGGCTCCTTGAGCTCAGTCTTGCACCTGATCAGTGACTGAGTGAGCACATGCTGTGTGGTGGCTGGATGTGAAATGTCCCCATCGGCTCCTTGTTTTAACGTGGTCTTCAGCTCTTGATGTTGTTTAGGAAAGCTGTGGAATCTCTGAGCAGTGCAGCTTCACTGGAGAAAGTGGTTCAGTGTGTAAAGAGCTCTGTCTGAGCTACTCTGCTATGGAGGCCAACTCTGAGGGGGACACCCTCTCCTTCTTCAAGCTCACCCATTCTCAAATACCAGCAGGACCCTGCCTACCCAGGGATAAGATATACCCAGAGGCACCTCAAACTCACATCCCTGGGACCAGTGGTCACTCAGTCTTAGATTCCTACATCTGAACGCCACACGAGGGCCACTAGGAGCTGTGCAGAACCTCCCACCCTGTCTCTCAACCACAGCAGGCCTCCACGGGGATTCCCAAGGGAAAGCTGTGGCCTTGTGTCTGCTGTTAGGTTTTCTTCTTCAATGAGGAGCACAGCCCATCTCTTTGTGGTAAGAACATGTACTTGGTGAGAATCCCGGGAAGGCAGGGGAGGTACTGACTGTCCCACCTTGCTCACACACACAGGACAACATGGAAAGAACTGGCCAGAAACTTGTGATGGAGGGCCCACTCTCCACAGTCACCAGACATGTGGGTCCGTCTTTAATTATGTTAAATATGAATAAAGTACAGAATAAATGTGACTCGCATATCATACCTTACATGACAAAGGGAGGGAAGGTTTCATACAACCTGGCACACAGCTTTGGGAATACATAGTGTCTTCGGTACCAGGTCTGTGTTTTGCTTTGGTTTGGGGTGACAGGCTAGAGAGCCACCACCCAAAACACAACCTGTGCTCTCAATAAGCGGAGGCCTCAACCGAGCAAAAGCAAAGGCAATGCTGGTGACCCCTGGGGAGAGACCATTAGAGAGAAAATGAGTCTGAATAACCCCAGATGGAAGAAAGAGAGGGCTGCATATTTTAAAAGATCAGCAATGAACCAAATAATATTGGAAATAATACCTTTGGCAATACTTCTGTAAGAAGCAGAATCACGCTACATGTTATTCACATGCATAGGAATGCGCAAGAAAAATCTCTTAGAGTCGTGGTTGGTGTGCAGTTGGTAAGACATGTCCTGGAGATGACAGGCGAACTGGTGGAGAAATTAATCCACAAAGGCATCGTGCCTCTAATGGAGGGAGAAGCCTCATCAGCAAGATAGCTGAGGGGAACCCACTCAGTGTAAGCATCCACACACATGCACGCTCATGTACGTACACACACACACACACACACACACACACACACACACATAAACCCAAATAAATAATTTCTCTCTCTGTCTCTCTTCCTCTCTCTCCGCATCCTTGTACTCAGGCAAGATTTCCCCACTGGCTGTGAGAATAGGGGAATTGTCCTGGAATGGAGACTTCTAGACACACAGCCCCTTCAGTAGCAGAACTGGCCCAGGCCATGCTGATAGCTCTCTGAACCTTCCCATGGGTTGAGAGTTCCGTCTCCAACAAGAGTGGGTAGCAGAAGGGCTCGCCACAAACGCCCAGCTTTTCTCACACGGTCAAGGGACAGTTGAGTATGTAGTGTGTACACTTTCTGATGTTGGTAGACAGGATCCTGACCTGAGGACACAGCTTCACAGGGAGCATCCCTTGGCAATGCTCCAGTGAAAAGCTTTGTGACACTCCCGCCTGACCCTATGTGTCAATGGGCTTAAGCTGTTCTCTCTGGTTATGACGAGACCTTTAGCTTATTCGTTGCAAGCCAAGTTCCTAAAAGGCCTGGAAAGGCCCAGAAAGACAAAGCTATCTCCTTGTCACCACACACTGCATATAGCCCAAGCTTAGTCTGTGAGATGTGTTTCTGAGGACACACGTGTCTTGAGATCCTTAGTGAGGACCGATCTTTGGCCATACATGACAAAGAACATAGATAAAAGATTCTTCTAACAGGAAGATGGAGGGAGGAAGCCTGCAACCAACCAGAACCAAAAACTGAAGCATCTTGAGCTCTCTGGTGACCTTCCACACATGGTGAGGGCTTCACTTCCTTTCCCGCCAACTGTTCGATGCCTTGAGGTTTCTCTATTCTGGCGTTAACAGCAAAACATCCCTTTCAAAATATAAACTGAATTCTTTGAGAAAACATCCAAAGGAGCAGAAAAGAGAAGCAGGGCCAGTCAAAGTCAAGACGCAGTTTGTTTTAAGAGTGCTCTTTCTCTATCCTGGGCATAAATAAAGTCTACAGGGGCAGAACAGGAGATCAGAGAAATGAGTGTGCTGCCAAAAGCCGACATTTTGTTTTCCTTTGGGCACAGCAAAGGGAACAGAGCTTATTTCTGATGTCACTGAAGGGCTAACTTGAGAGCATGAACAAAAATGAAAAGGGCCTCCGTTCTCCAAGCAGCTTCGTTCTCTGCTAGTTGGGGTTAGCCATTTACACAAGGTGCACTGGGAAATAACACAGGAAGGGGTGGTTCCAGCAAGCCCCAAACCACGGCCTCTAGTGAACTTGGACTTAATCGGATCCCAGAGCTGTCCAACCTACACCCAGACAAGCTCTCCTGGAGGTAGGAGTTAAGGCTGGTCTGTGGCTTTCCAAAGCCTCCTCTTCCTACCCACTGGGTGCCAGCCTGTCTTCCTAAGCTCCAAGGCACTCTGGGAACAGACAGAAGCCTAACCCCAGTGTACTTTCCAAGGCTTCAGGTGGAAGAGCCCAGTGATTAAGAGCAGAGCTGCTGAGGATGGCAAGAAAAATGTCAACATAGTTTCAATGAACTATTGCCTTGAGAGGAGAGGACGGGGCACCAGTGGTTTTCTCCACACCGCAGGTGACAGTTCTCCACCAGGAGACTTTTAAAGTCATGACAATGACAGAGTCGGTCAGGCCCAGCTCCAGCAGAAGGGACTCAGCGCTCACGTTGTCTTCCAGGCAAATGCTTCATCATCCAGTACCTGTGCTAGCCTAGTGTTGAAAGGCCCGTAAAAGTCCTGCAGGATCTTCTGGGTGACTGGCCACATGGGTCCCAGGCTACGGTCCTCAGGACGCCGTGTGTTTGACGCAGGGCTCTTGGTCATCAAAGCTTCCTGCTTCTCACTTAGAGGCCCTATAATGAGAAGGGAAACAGTCCTGTAAGGCTGGAGGTAAAAAGGACTTCACAAGAGCTCCAGCTGAACTTCATGCTCAGACAAGACTTTCCTGAGAAGATATATCGTTGGACTGGAGAGATGGCTCAGTGGCTTAGAGCACTTGTTCTTACAGGAGACCTGGTTTCAATTCCCAGCACCTACTATTCTGTAACTCCAGTTCCAGAGGATCTGACACCCTCTTCTGACCTCCAAGGGTACCAGGCACACATATGACACATGCACATACATGCAAGCAGAACAAACATAAACATAAAACAAATATTTTTTTAAATTAAAAAAAAAATCTGGATAGATCTATTTGGAGAAACCAAGGAAGGAAGAAACCACTAGACATTGTAAAGCAATCCTAAGTCCAGGTGCATGTCTGCCCTCAGGGGAGCCCTACTGGTACTGTGGGATGGTGTCCTTTCACCTTAGGCCCAGCTCAGAGTTCATCCCCAGCCATCCTGCATGGGCTGCCTTCCAGGGCCATCACTTGTCCTGCATAACTGTGTACAGAGACTTTGGTTGCCTGGAACTCTGCCACCATCATTCCCACTTTGGGTTCTTGAGTGACACAAAGGTCATAGGTCTCAGTGAACTCTATTTCCTCTTTCTCGTGCTGTAGAGGCATTGAGGGTGGGAGGAGTGGTCTCTGTACCTGTAGCAATTGCATCAGTGGGGAAATGCCCCAGGGCAGGCCAGCCAAGGTAACACAGGAGGCTTATACCTCCCCATCCCAAACTTCTGGGTCATCAGCTGCTCACTGGCTCAACCCATCACTAGACCACTAGCTACTCCTCATGCTTCCCCAAGGTTATAGGACCCAACCAAGACCATTACAATAGCCCAGTATCTCAGGGTCATGCAAGGAAATTTACCTTACAGTCCTGTCCCTCTTAGGAACAGAAGACAACCACATAATGTGAGAGATTTATAGGTGGTCAAATTAAAGAAAAATGGTTCTAAGTCCTAAATGGGAAAGAGAGTGTCTATATTCCAGCCCATACCAGTTCTCTAATAATAATAATAATAATAATAATAATAATAATAATAATAATAATAGTAAGGAAGGAAAAAAAAGGAAGGAAGGAAGAATGGAAGGAAGGAAAGAAGGAAGGGAATGAGAGAAAAAGAAAGAAAGAAAAAAAGAAAGAAAGGAAGGAAGGAAGGAAGAAAGAAAGAAAGAAAGAAAGAAAGAAAATTTACAAGATAAGAGTCCTAAAGCCCAGTGGTCACATACATATAGTTCAAGAAATAATCAGTTAACAGAATTCCCAGGTCATGCCATTGGACAGGAATATAGGAAATGTCCCATGGAAAAGTGCCATGGCCTGGCATTTACAGGCAACATTTCTGTTGTGCCTCTGCCAGCCAGTGCCATAGCCAGTTAGCAGACTGCCCTTGAGCTAGTATCCTCAGGCTGAAGGCAGACTAAAGACCAATTATGAGCCATCCTGACTCTAGGGATTCCCCACCAACACCTGAGATGATGTAATAGCCAGACTTCCAAACTCCATGACCCTGTAGAGCTGTCCTAGGCACTCTCTGTGTCTTTGAGCTGCTTCAGAATTCAATCTATATCCTCTTGCCTTTCATAAATGTCTCTATAATCCCATAGCAGCTGAGGTCAGCCATCATTACTAGGCCCACTGTGACAGTACCTACCTTTCCCATGGATACTGACAGTCATTTAATGAGTTAGACTGGACTTCCTTCTCCTTCTAGGTTGAAAGATCTCAAGAGTACCTCCTTTTCCAGAGCTTGCCCACCACCACCACATGCACAGTTCCCCATGCAGCAGATACTAGGTAAACATGAATTAAACAGGTATCTCTTCTGGAGTCCCTGGGCCTCACACAGCCCATCTCTTCCCATTTTACACTTAACTTAATGCATTCCTAAAGAGTACAAGCCATGGGTAAGGGGAGTTCCCTCAGAGGGGAAAGTACTTATAAGTTCTTGTTCTACAAACATGAGGACCTGAGTTTAAATCTTCAACACCCCTTTAAAGGCTGACTGTGGCAACATGTATCTATAACCCCAGCACTGGAAGAAAGGAAGAAACAGACCCTGAGACTCCCTGGTCAGCCATTCTAACCAAACAACAAGCTGAGTTCAGTGAATTCCCTTTCTCGGAAAAAAAAAAAAATGAGAAGAGTAAGAAAGACACTGGATGTTGACTTCTTACCTGTGAGTGTGCATGCACACACCCCAACACAAAACACCCCAACACACATATACCAACACCAACACACACACACACACACACACACACAGGTCTAGATACACACACATGCCCCAAAATACATAGGTGCAGACAGACAGATAGACAGACAGACAGACACACACACACACACACACACACACACTTAGATGCATACACATATTCCAACACACACATATAGGTGCAGATACACACACACCCCAACACACATAGGTAGAAATACAGACTCACTCACACACAACACACACACTGCAAATACACACACAAATGAGAAAGCCCATATCCCTGGGGTTTATGCTGAGCCCCACTGTCTAAAGCATGACACATACCCAGGTTTAGGAAGTGGAAGACCCTGTGCATGGTGTACTTGACATTGGACGCGTGGTCTTCCAGGCGTAGAATGAGGAACTGTTCCTTTTTAAAGACAGTTAACCAGTCCAGAAGGTACACAGCGTACAGCCCAACCTGGAGCCTCACCTAGGAAGGAAGGAGGAGGATATTACTGCAGAAAACACTTTCCCAGACCCAGGCGGTGCTTTTTCCAAAGCATGATGGACATCTCCCTGTAAACCAACACAGACTCATCCCAGCAAACAATCACCTTCTGAAGTCAAATTTTAACACAAGGCATTCTGTGCCACAAGTGCAAGGGATCCCTACACTTAGGGCTGCATTTAGTCTTCATGTCAGCCCATGGGTGGCTCCAACCTCTCCTCACAAGTGAGAGCAGAAGCCCAGCAAAGAAGTCAAGGGCATGACAGGTCTTTGTGGGTGTCTGTCTCCTTGCTGTCAATCACAACAGGCTGTGAAAAGTCAAAATCAGACACCTCGAAGACAACCCAAACACCATGACCATGAATGTGTGTGATGTCCTTGGAACGTAACCATAGGAGAATAAAACCAATGCACAGGCAAAGCCTTCTTCCTTCCCTCCTACTCATCTCCTGAGTCCTAACCCTGTTCCTTCTCTCAAGCAAAACTTCAAATGGGTAGCAAAGGACTGACCCACTCAAAGACAGATCCCTGGCTTTTGCTCTCTGGCCTGGAAGGTGACTGCTGAGGCTTCTGGACTGCATTGCCCAACAGGAGCAGTTTCATTTCCCTAGGATGTGAGCACCAGTCAAGCTAACACAGAGGGATTTCTGACAGAGCTCTGGTCTCTGAAATAACCAGAGGGTCAGTATGTAATGGAACCCTAGCAAGAACTCTGGACATTACAACCTTGTGGTAAGATTCCTCGCTGTGGTCAAGTGCTCATGCATCTATCATGGCTGGGAGGTGATGTCACCATCTGTGACTCTGGAGGGAGAAGTGGCCTGGAGGCTCTGCCATTCACTTTCCCTCACTGATGTGACCCTGAATCCTTTCCATGCCCTGGTCATTGTCACAGCCTTTGATTTGTCCTGTGAACTCTTCCTCAATACCAGACTTGAAGATGGTTGGTGACTTTCTCCCAGAACTCACAGCTGGCGTCCAAGTGGGAGTGACTCACAACACCCCCCTCCCTATTTATACCTTCTTTGTCCACTCCTACTAACACCCACTAGACACCCACAGGCTCCTGGCTGGTTCTCTCATCTCCACACTCTGTCCTTCCACCTGTCATGGGAATGTGCTTTGTAGAGCAGTGAGCTGTCCATGACTGGTCCTGAGGCTCTCCATCTGGAAAGCCCTGAGCTACCTCCAACTTCCAGTTCATTCTTCCTCCATGGCTCTTCCCAGCCCTATGCTCCTCCTTAGGGCCTTCGTTTTTTTAATTATCTATCTATCTATCATTTATTTATTTTTAGATTCTCCCTGACGAACTTGACTTTGAGGTTCCTGGGGTGGGGGCCATCAAGTCACCTGGAACCAAGCTCTGTGTCAGCATTCGCTTGAGCTCTTAGTGGAACTGCTGAACACAGCATTGACAACACCGTAAGGGAACATTTGGTGACAGAATGCATGCAAGTGCTAATCGTTTTCATCTCTCACTGTTCTTTCCCCCATTTCATCATTTTTCTAATGATGCAGGAAGACAGGGAGGAAGAAAACAATTAGAGCAAAGAGCTAAGTTATCTCCAAAATTCATTAGCTGTCGCTAAGCCTTGCTTTGGTACTACCTTACACGCTGGCTGATAAAGCCTTCAAGCTGGGCTAAGGAGATGAGCATGCTCCAGTCTCAGTAGCAAATACACACACGGCCTCCAACATGGGATGGGCACGAGAACACTGCTAGGTCAGGACTCCAGGGGCTTTCCCTGTCTCTTTCCCACCACCTTACAGCCAGCCTGGCCTCACAAGGTTCATCTCCTCCAGAGAAAGTGCTTTTGTAACATGACATCCATCCAGAAGGAAAGGAGGTGACTTGTCAGCAACAGGACACCTGCCCTCTGAAACCATCTTGGTGATACTCTACCATTGCCCTCAGGACAAAGCCCTACAGAGTCCTGACCATACAGAGCCTTCCTCACAAACAGGGCTGGCCCAGGGAGGGAGGACATGGGATTCCTACAAATGCATTGGCTCCCAAGGGGAGGGTTTCCACTCACTGGTTCTAGAACTCCCTCGGTCAGCCGGGGAGAGCTCTGGGCTCCTCAGGGACATTGTCTATACATGCAGTAATGCCAGTGCAATTTGGAGCCATGAAGACACCCCTAAAATAATGCCATACAAAGTCCTATTTAAGTCACCTCTGTCCAGCATAGGATGGGAACCAAAATAGAATGAGTATCAAAATAGAGCCAATGTAGAGACAACATCTAGGGCAAGAGCCCAATACCTTTAAAATTGGAAAACTCCAAAGCTGAAGGAAGCCTTTGAGCTTAGGGATGCCTGGTGACTCACTGACAAAGAACCAGAGACCAGGAGGGCAGGGGTATCTACCTGGACTCAGCATGTCCCTCACGGACATGATGCCTGTTCCATCACAGAGGAGCTCTGGTAAATAGTGAGCACCCGATCAGGCTCTGTGAAGCACATCAGGGGCTCAGGGACTACATTATGGGGGACCCAGGGAACACCTCAGGGAGGCACAGGAAGCAACACAGAGCATCCTAAAAAGTGCCTTGAGGAGTCTAAAGACCACTAGGGACCAACTCATGGGAATCCCAGAAAGCACCTGGGAGGGGTGTAGAAAGGACCTGAAAGGATCCAGTTTTGAGCCAAACCTAGTCACAGGTCCACCTCTGTCCCAGACAGGTGCCACTCCAACCCTCACAGTCCCCCCAATTTCAGTTGGGACTCCCCACCCAGCCTCCCTTCTCCCCACCCAGACATTCATTTCTTCATTCATTCAGTAAACGCTGTGAGTTCACACAGTGTGTCAGGTACCACACTAGGCAGCAGAGATGTGAGGCCACTTACCAGGCATGGCCCTGACTGCTCGGAGACACCTCTAAAGGTGTCTCCTTTAGGAGACAGACACCTGCCTTCACCAATTGTGGCACATGCTATTGGAGGTGGCGGTCAGATTAAAGAAAGATCTAAAAGATGGCAAGTTCTTGGACAGGCAGGGGAAGCATGTCGAGGGAGAGGGAGAAGAAACTCAGAGAAGGTTCCAGAGCCCAGCAGATCCTGAGTACACGCACATCCACAGCAGGCCAGTTAGGTAGATGGGTGTTCCACCTACACCTTCACCCCGTGGCCTAGATGAGTGTCCACACCTGCACCCTCCTGCAGTATCTGATACATGACATCTAGGAGGAGCAGAGGCCTTGCACTTCTGACCAATTCTCCAGGACCCCACTCTATGAGCCCTGCTCAAAGGCCACGGCTATCTGAGGACCTAAATGTAGAGTGTGGCCATGACACAGTGATAGAGGAAGAGGGACTGTGAGGACAGAAGGAGGCCCTCAGGCAGAGAGAGTATGCAGGGCTAGCTGTAGTGGACACATCTGCAATGCCAACGCCCGGGAGACTAGACCACATTCCTCATGCTATCGGTGGGCTGCACCAGCAGACCAGCAGCCTGAAGGGAAGTGTCTTCCTGTCTCAGAGTGAAAAACCATCTCCCATAGTAGTCTTAGCCATCTCTAACTGCCCACTCCCCTTCCTGCACAGAGTCCCTCCTGAACTTCAGCCACCCTGTCCACTGCCATGCCCCTGGAGTCTCTCCCTCAGACAAGAGGAGCTAGACTGTGGTGTTGTCATCCTTGGAATGTCACAAATGAAATTTAGAGGACATGCCCCCTGCCATCTCAGAACCACTTTTAAGATCAAGGAAAGGAAAACAGGTTTCAAAGGCTATCAGACAGACAGCCTGTTGTTAGGTGCAGGTGGGGTACACCTGCAGTGAGTCTCAGTGTCCCCCATCTGTGAAATGGGAGCAATTTCAGAGGTCAGTGAGGATGTAAAATTTAGGATAGTATCCAGTGAGCAATGAACTAAAGTTAGATACTTCCTGTCTCTCGCCAGTGCACTTGACAAGCATTTGGCAAGGATGTTTCTAACACACCCAGGGGTGAAGAGAATCACACAGCTACCTATGAACTTCCCAAACAGTCACAATGGGGTTCCCATGTTCAGTCGGCCTGTAGACAGGAAGAAGAGAGGCACACCCCCGCTTCTCTGTGAGAGGAAATGGCTGCGGATATCCTGTCTCTAGGAAGCCTATTTAGAGACAGCCAGGGTACATTTAGCCTGCTTGGTGCAGGCTTTGTCTTTCCTAGGACATATCTCAGGTAGAATGAAATGCCACCACATGTGGATCTGCTTCTATCAGATGCTGACCCCTTCACAGGGCAGGAGAAGCTCAGTTCACAGCCATTAAACCCAACTATGCCTGTGTCAGGATTCCTAAATCCCTGCCTCTCTCTCCCCATGACACCCAGCCAATTGAAGCTGGAATGAACCTACATCTGTCCCTCCCTCTCTGCAGTCCTCCTCAGGAGATCTCCCAAAGAGACAGCTGGGTGGTGACTGCTTCAGTAGGAATGTCCCTGCCCCTTTCCAGAGCCACGCAAGCCTCACCCCTCACTGTTCATCTGGCCCGTTCCTGCCTCCCTCTGCCCGTCTTCCCACCTACTTTGCAGGCTTGTGTTGAGAGTTGCACACCATCATCACAAACAGGAAATTCCAGAAGGCCTGGGATGAAAGCAAGCCTGAGGCAGGCTGCATCCAGGAATATATGAATTCTCCCAACAGATCGCCTGCCTTCTCCCATCCTCCAGAGCCTGCTGCATGACAACTACTAAACAGAGGACTTCTGGAGATACATTGGAGCCCTAAAGAAAGTGGTTTCAAAGTCTAGACCTGGGCCGCAGATCCTCCTGGGTAGCTGGCCACCAAGAAGGCAACAAGCAATAGAAGGGCCTGCATCGAAGAACAGCCCCAGGCTAGTGGGCAGCCAACACTGGTGGAGTCTATCACTTCCCAGCCATGTGGGAGGAGGACTTTCCCTCCTCAGTGGGCTCACAGTTGTATGCAGTACCATACGTTTGTGAATGCAGGCACTTGTGCAACGACTCTCAATCTTGAATTCCCATAACAGTCTGGAGGTTTTATGGTAAAGCAACTGAGTTTCCCAGAGACTAAGAGAGTTGTGCAAAGCCACTCAGCCAGGAAAAGCCAGAGTGACCCCACGCCACAGTCTACCTCCAAAGCTTGCCCATCTGAAAATGTGGCTAACTATGTTGAATTTTCCTTGCCGAACAATAATGCCTACAGGAAGACAGACACCCCAGAGTAAGAAAAGATGGTCTGAGAAGCCAGGCAGAGAGATCTGAGTCTTTGCCCTGAGCCTCAATGCCCTGGGGGTCTCATCTACAGTGGTCTGTGCATATCTGATGTGTGACACAGGCACCCATGGGGCAGGTAGCTATCTAATACAGAAGCCACTCTGTGGAAGCACTTAGACCAGAGAGCCTAGAGTGGACAAGCGACTTCAGCTAAGTTACTGGACTCAAAGCCAGCAAGTGTTGTGTTTTGTTTTGTTTGCAGAAGGCTGGAACTTTAGGTGTGCTACTTAAGAGGAGACGGAAAACAACAGAGGAATCAAGACAGCAGCATTCAGACTCACAAGTGGGTGATTCTTTTTGGAACAGCCCATGCTGCAGTGATGCTATGGGACAAGCTGAGGACAGGTGTCTTCCCGTCTGACATCTCTAATTACAGCGTGCACTTGGGGAGCCTCACTAAATGGCACACTGGCTCTCTAGTAGACAGAGGAGATGCAGGATGCTGTGTCTGGGTGACAGGTAAGGGAGGACACAGACAGCAGGCTGGGAAAGATCAGCTGCTTCCATGGCTCTCCCAGCCAGGAGTGTTTGCTTTCACATTAGCCAGATCCCAAAGACAGCTCAGTATCATTTGCACATTGAAACGCTCTGTCCTCATCTCTGCGCTAAAACCCTGCTCACAATGCTGTCGCCGCCCCCCCCCACTCCCCTCCCACACAGAATAGCATCAGAGTGGCCCCATTCTGTAGGGCTGGCTTGGTGAATACGCACGGGCATGGCATTGTTCAGGGTGTTGTTGTAGACACAGGCGCGCAGGGAATAATCCAGCATGCAGCTTTCAAACAGCTGTAGAGCCTCCGTCACCTTTTCATGGAAGTCGTCTGCAGACTTATTTGAACTTGCAAAGTAGAGATAGTCTGAGTACAGTCTGTGAATAAAATAAATGGATAATCTTACCGTCCGGAACGTGCAATCACACCGAGTGGGCGACAGGGAGAACCATCCTGCCATTACATTAGCTAGTTTGACTTATTAAAACACAACAATTTCTCTTCCCTTTATTTCAGGTGAGCCCCCTCCCTCTCTTCCCTTCTTGCTCCCACCCATAACACACCATCTACCCTTCCCACTCAGATATGTCTGGACCAGCCCCAAACACCAACCAATGGTGGCTTTTGTTATTAGTCTGTGGTTGTTTCGATTTGTTTGTTGTCTTTCTTTTGCTCATTTTATTTATTCCTGGGACATGGGAGGTCGTGCAAACGCCATAGCACAAGTGTGGAGATTAAGGACACCTCAGTGCAGCCCGTTCTCTCTTTGTACAGGTTCCAGGAATGAAACTCAAGTCCACCATGTTTGTCGCTAGGCCACCTCACCCACATTTGCTTTTTAAAGAAAGCACATTGATGCCACAGCACACATGTAGATGTCGGGGGACAGCATGCAGCTCCTTCCACCGTATGTGCCCAGGGATTGAACTCAGCCCTCAGCCTTCGCAGAAAGTTCTTTACCCACTGAGCCACTTGCTCCCCCCACCGTGATGTTCAAAATCCCTTCCAGTTTCCACAGACAGAAGTCATTTCCACAACTTCCATTCAAAAAGAAGCCCTGAGAATGTTCTGTGGTGTCTCGCTCCCTTCTCTTGAAGGGAACTAAACCAGGGTTCAGGCTATCCAGGCAAGATTACAATCCGCTGTGAAGTACCTGAATTTCCCTGTAGATACTCTGGACGTCTAAAGGTGTACTAAACATCAGGAATGGTGGCTCACGGCTGCATTCAAAACACTTAGAAGGTTGAGGCAGGTGGCTCTCTGGTTTTGAGGCCCACAGGGGATAGGTAGATAGAAAGTTATTAGGCCAATTTTGGCTACTGTGTAAAAACCCTGTCTCAAAACAGAATAAAAGCACCCACAAATATGCATGGAAACACCTGCAGACCGGTATGTCTGTGCAGACACCACACATGTGCATTTGCATGTAACCACAGTTTCCACAGGAGTTGCCAGTCTCCCTTAACTTCACTTGTGAGTGATCCATTTTTTCACTTTTAATGTTAGCAATGTCCAATTTTAGCAAGAATCTTGGTGTTAAAAGAGAGGCACCTGTCTTTAATCCCAGCACTTAGGGAGGCAGAGGCAGGCAGATCTCTTCAAGTCCAGCCTGGTCTACAGAGCAAGTTCTAGGACAGCAAGGACCACACAGAGAAAACCTGTCTCAAAATAAACCAAAGCAAAGGAAAAGAAAACAAGAAATAAGAAAGAAAAGAAAAGGAAGAAAGAAAGAGAAAACTTATGAAGGTGTGTGCTAAGGTGCAGGTCTGTAATCCCAGCACTCAGGAGGCTGAGGAAGAACAATCTTGAGTTCAGGAACAACCTGAACTACATATTGAGTTCAAAGTCAGCTTTGACTACAAATATAGATCCTTGGGAGAAGAAGGACAGAGCAGGGGAGGGGAGAGAAAGGTAAGGGACAGGATGGGAAGGACAGAAAATTCATGGGAAGCCCTTAGATCCTTCAACTTAAGAAATCCACTGAATCTGTTTTGTTTGCAGGCATGGCTAAACTGATCTGGCTGTAACCTACCCCCATTCCCAAATCGTTACCACCCTCTGACCTGAGAGGCATCCTCCTAGCCCAACAGATGTCTAGTCACCTGGACTGCTGAGGGAGGAATCCTGGTGCAGTGGTTTAGCCAGACCCCCTCAGGCTTGATGCTTCCCTTTAGTGATTTCCCACCGACAGCATCTGCATCTTGCATATAAAAATCCCACTTCTCGCTGTATTCTGAGCTGAGCTCAACCACTCTCCTCCACAGCAGAGCCCCATTACAGCAGTCTTACACTTCCAGCAACAGCGGGAAATGAAGTCTGTTTGAGTGTTTCAGCAGATGTTGGGATAATTTCTTCACTTTGAGAACTCCTGGGATGTGTTTCCTAACCATTATCCTCCCTTTCTGCCTGCAGACAAAGTACAAATTCGGCTTTGTTTTTCCAGATGTTTCTCTCTCTGCTCTTCCTGCAAACACCTGCCCATGCTCCCACAGCTCTGTAAGGCACCCTTCATGAGCATGCAGATAGATCCCAACTGCATCCCCTTCCAAGGGTGATGCTGGGCTGGTGCCAGGTGACTGGGGCTCTATGGCATACTGCCCTCTCCTCCTAGTTCCTACTCTCTAGTTCCCACACCCCCAGTCTGTTATCTCTCTTTTCAGTGAGTCCCCTCATCCTTATGTATCTAGGAGTGGAATATCTGCCCTGGTCATCATCCCTGTGCTTCTACGTCCACTGCATTACCAGCATCCTACAGAGGTCATGGCCCCCTTCCAGGCCTGCTGCTGGGAACTTTCACCACTTTTACCTCTGACACCACCATAACACTCCATGTGTCACTTCACAGAGATCTTATTAACCTCAACCCCCACCTGACACAATGTCCTTGAGGTCTCCCTGAGTATTCTTTCTCAGCCGAGGTCCACAGAGGATGTTGGAGATGTTTGGGGTTGCTCAGGGATTGCCTAAAATCAGCATGCCAGTTGGAATGTAGTATATTGTTTATTTCAGCTTGGCCAGCCAAACATTACAAAAGAACTTGCCTTGAGCCAGCAAGATGCCTCAGTAGGTAAAGGGGCCTGATGGATCTGAGTTCAGTCCCTGGGACCCATGGGTATGTATGTAAGAAGTCTGTGTGTGTGTGTGTGTGTGTGTACACAGATAAGAATCGAAGAAGCTAGGAAAGTTAAACATGTAGGCTTGTCTCTTCAAAGAAAGATGTTTACCTGTCTTCCACCCAGAACACAGGGAAAGGATATAGTTTACAACCTGGTGATTCTTTGCTATCTATAAGACTAGGTTTTACCTGAATCCCCCAGGACATTATATTTGTTTACTCCAGACCTTTTCCCATCAAATCTTGAACTTCGCTTCTCAGTTCATAAAATCCATCCTCATGAAAGATGTCATTAGGACTTTACAGCAGCCCAAGTAACTTCTATGTTAGTATAGGGTCAGGCCAATCCTGACTCCCACAGGCAATATGTTTATCTCAGTAGAATCTCTCTAGGGCCTTATCTTAAGCATTGTTTCTAAGTCAACACAACCCATCTGTATGGAAGAAGCCATGTGTGCTTTGTAAATGTATTCAATGTAAACAAACCTTAGGTTTTGTTGTATATCATCAGAAAACTTTTTTTTTTCCAAAATGGTGCTGTGCTTAAATATGGCTAAAGTATACTGCCTAGTGTCAAACTCCAGAAGTTTGGATTGGTGATGGCTAACTATAGAGATTGCAAAGATCCCCAGAGCACCCACATGGTAGAAGGAGAGAACCAACTCTTGAGAGTTATCATATAACCCCCACAGGCATGCTTTAGTGCACATGTACACACACACAACCACAATGTAAATTTAAGAAAACAACAATACTACTTTCAAAATGACTTGCCTCAAGACACTCCATGCTTTCATGAGGCATAAGCAGAATGATCCCTAGGGTTCATATACTGTGTTCATAGTTTGAATGTGGTTGGCCCCCATAATCTCATAGGGAGTGGCGCTATTAGGAGGCATGGCTTTGTTGGAGAAGGTATGGCCTTTTTGGAAGTATGTCACTGTGGGGGTGGGCTCTGAGGTCTCATGTATGCCCAAGCCATGCCCAGTGCTGCAATAGACTTCCTGTTACCTGCAAGATGTAGGGTTCTCAGCTACTTCTCCAGTACCATGTCTGCCTGCACATTGCCATGCTCCCAGCTATGATGGTAATGGACTGAACCTCTGGACTGTAAGTGAGCTGCCTCAATTAAATGTTCTTTGTAAGAGTTGCATGGTCATGGCATCTCTTCACAGCCATAGAAACCTCAACTAAGGCATATATCCAAGTTAATTCATCTGATGCCCCCAGTATTAGCTGTACTATTGTACCGTCCTTCCTCAGAATCAGAACATGCATCACAAAGCATTCAGTCACAGCTAATAATCAGGTTTTCATGGACCTCAGCACACAGGTCAGTCACATGCCGAGACTGAGGGACCCCACTTGAAAATCTGTATGATGGGGAACCCTTCCTGCTTCACATGTATTTTAGCATCCCTGACAATCAATAGTCTGGCTCAACCCAAGAAACTGTGACCGAGAAAATGACAGCTGCCTCTGACTCTTACCCACACCCAAACCTGACCTTTACCCAGGATGCCCACAGCTATCCACATAAACTCCCTCGGAAAAACATGTCATTAGCCCAAGGTTCCTTTGTGACATTTTCTCCCATGGTAATAACAATATTCTTAGAGGCATTTGATTCATAAATAATTATAAACTCAATTCTTGGTACCAAATAAAAATGCCTGCTGATTCCATGACATTCATTAGAGACAGGGAAGTAATCCATGAGGGAACACTGGGAAATGTTCAATGTTGCATCCAGGAACCTGCACCCCACCCAGAGGCAAGCTCATGTATACTGACTACCTTTCAACTTTTTAAATTAGTGGAAGTTCATGTTCATGGCAAGGTGAGAGACTTCCACCGAGGCAGAGACAAGACTCTGGTAACCACTTAATAGAACACTGAAGATCACTGAAAGCCACCAGAAGCTCCAAGCCAGGGCCGGGCAGAGGACAGATTCAGACCTGTGGAGGATACCAACCCTGTGTGACATCTTGGTTTCTGACTTCCAACCTCCACACTAGAACAGAAAATTGTTTGTTTGGTTAAAGCCATTGAGTGTGGATGGTTTATTGTAACAGCCCCAGAAAAAAACAAGGTAGTCCTTAATCCAAGGAAGATGGAGGGGTTATTTTATTCAATGTCACTCTTCACCAGAGACCTGAGCATTTCCCCAAATGTACAGAAAGAACTGGTTATGAGGCCATTATCTCCTGAAGGAAACATAAAGATGAGTCATGGCAAGGCAGAAGCTTAGGCCTCTGAGGA